AAAATCGAATGGCAAGGCACTACAAGTCAAGAGTCGGACCTCGGAGTTTCTAGGTCGGACACTTAGTCCTTCGCAGAGTGCAGAAGCATGTTGAGGCATTGGAACCAAATTGGGAAGGACTATTCGAAGTCAAGGGCATAGTCCGACCTGGGACGTATATGCTTGCCGATCTCGAAGGAAAGCTACTCTTGCACCCTTGGAATGCGGAACATTTGAAGAGATATTACCCTTGAAATGTCAAAATGGTCCAAAAGTGGAATGAGACTTGTAAAAATTCTCAAGGGTTAATTCCAGTAAAGGACACCTTATTATTTAATTTCGTGTCTCCTAGAAGATGAGTTTGATGTGAAACTAATTGAGGGCTGAACTTCTCCTTCTCAAGGCACTTGGCTATGACATGAGCGTCCCTCAGATTCTCCAGGTGCCGAACAGCTTCTGCTTGGACACTCTTAAGCTCGACCTTATTAGCTTCAGAGGTGGACCTCCACGCCTCAGCCTATGCACGAGCCTCTTTGAGTTCCCCTTCCAGGACAGCAGCAGCATCCAATGCAGTAGAGGAGGCCTCCCACTCCTTCACATTAAGAAGGTCGCGCCCCTCCAGCTCGGCCTTCACCATAAGTGCAGTCTGGCAAGCCGCAACATGAGCCTTTGTACGAGATCAAAGAGAAACAAAGTGTTAATATCAGATATAAGCCTACAAATGCAAAGGAAAGAAAGCAAGGTCTCACCTTGGCAGTATAGTCCAACAAGCGTTGGATGGCTAACCCGGGTGCATTGACAAACTTGGAAGCCTCCTCCAACAGTGGTCGAAGCAAGAGCCAGACATCTCCATGGCTCTTTCCCTCACCTCGGCACTAGATGGCTCAATCTTAAACCTCAACTCGAGGTCAGAAGTGCCACCCATCCTAGCCTCGAGGTCGTTGACTAAGTTCCCGGAAGGACTAGCTCCCCGCCCAACGTGCGCCTCCCTCACCTCGTCCTCGGAGTGATGGGTCTTGCGCTTCTTCTTCTTGGACTTCTTGGGGGA